TGAGATGGAGTCTTGCTGTGTTGCCCAGGCTGGAATGCAGTGGCGCTATCTCGGCTCACTGCAACCTCCACCTCCTAGGTTCAAGCAATTCTCCTGCCTCAGCCATCCCAAGTCGCTGAGATTACAGGCGCCCGCCACTATACCCAGTTAATTTTTGCATTTTTAGTAGAGACAGGGTTTCACCATGTTGGCCAGGCTGGTCTCCAACACCTGACCTCAGTTGATCCACCCACCTCAGCCTCCCAAAGTGCTGGGATTACAAGCGTGAGTCACCATGCCCAGCCGACAATAACCTGTCTTTTGTGGAGGTGCTGGGAGGATCAGCAAAAGTGTTCCAAGATGCCACACACTGCGTGGGCAGTGGGAACACAAACACACTCCACTAGCTCGGAGCTTTGGACCAGTAACAGAAGACTGACAGCGCAACTACAATACAGTGTGGTAAGTGCTAATGTGGTAAGTGCTAAGGGAAACAGCACAACGCCTGGAGATGGGTGCCATTATAATTATTTAAACCTTGTCTATTTGTCTATAACCAAACAGCATTTGAGAGAGCTCTATTGTTTTCATCCACTGATGCTCTGTGATTTTTTTCTTTTTTTTAATTCTCTGTCTTTCATCCCATTAGGATATGTTTCCATTCAAGCAAATGTCAGGCTGAAAGGAGGGTGGGGGAAGGAAAGAACATATTCCAGGATACACTGGTAAATTGCCTTCTCTTCCCCAAGAAAAGAGTGACTTCCAACGCTTGGAATTTTTCTATAGTAATGTTTTCACGTAGGGAAGGGCCAACCAGACAACTGATTTTTGTTTTAAGTTCAACTAGTGATTTTGTTAAGCTCCTATGGTTGAGAATAGTGTTCTACACCCAGTGGATGGCTGCTGGGTTTCTCAACGCCAAATTCCCTCTTCCAAGTGTCATATGGTATGTATTTATCCTTACGGTTAAAGTAAATGAATAGACATATTTTTAAGAATTTAGAGATAACTGAAGGAAACCTCTAGCGATAACGAAGAAAACCCTGGGTGCCACAAATCCCAGAGCCTGGAAAACCACCTACCTGAAGAAACCACTTATGAGCCACTCTACTTCTTTGTGGGCCCTTAGGTACTTTTCGTTAGCAATCCGAGTCTGAATCTGGGGGGCAAGAATAAAAGGTCACTCCATGAGGAAACAGATGCAGGATTCAGCCCTGGAGATGTGAGGAGCTGCGGGAAACGGCGTGCGCATTTAACCCAAGTCTTTCCCCAGGATGCTTGAAAGTTTAAGCCACCCATCTTCTTACAGATAAAATATCATTCTGCCGCCTGTTCAGGCTGAGGGGCCTTAACTAAGGTCGGATGTGTAATTTCGGCCCATTTCTCTGGCCGAGTCCCTGAGTTAGTTCTTCCTGTACTCTCAGACACCCGTGGCGCTCTGTGCTGGGCTCAGACGCCCAGAGGTCCGCCGGGGGTCCCCCCTGCACCCTCCCCACTTTGTCAGGGAACAGGCTCCCGCTCCCCTTCTCTCGGCGGCTCTCTTCCCAGTCTGGGCCCCAGTCCTTGGGGAGCTACACTTTGGTGGACGCCGGGTAGGGGCGCGGGCGCACCCACCTTGAATTTTCGCAGCTGCTCCAGCTGCGCGGCGCTAAGCGCCCCGGGGTCGGG